TTGTTTGTTAAATTTTATCTGAGTAAACAATCATATTACCTTTAATTTATCCAGAACAGTTTTGATGGCTTTTTAAAAAAATAATCTTTTAGTCGATCCATTCTACAATGTAAACGTGATATAGTACTGTACAAATTTCCTGTATCCTTTATTTGACACGATTTTGACAATTACATTCAGAATAATGTTATGTCTTTCACCATCAATTAGGTAATGTTTCACAAAAATGTCCGTGTAGAAATTAATCAGTTTTGTATCTTACTCTTCATATGAGCTGTGCTAATACTGTACAGTTGTCCGAACCGAATCAGATGATGACTGTTGAGAATGTCAAGCCTAGTGGTTACAATTTCAAGAGTTTCAACCATTGAACCACAACCCTACTGTTTATCATAATCGGAAATATCCCCCGGAGGTGTTCTTTTTTGGAACAAGTGTCTGTTAAGTAACTAAAGGTGATTAACCCTATAGTGTTGTGAGTATTGTTAATATGTTAGTACAGAGTCATTGATGAATACAACAGTCGAGTTGGTGATCGAACTTAAGTATCTGTTTCCCCTACCCTGTCTTTCAATATAAAATAAAAATTTACAGACAGACAAACCAATAAAGAATAAAATTGAAATACTAAAGATTTCCTTGGTATTGATTGATATGATTGCCATTGGTACAGAATAGTTAACAAGAATACATTTTAGTCATGATATCCATCATGTTTGTTATGTAATTATCGAATATCTTCCCAATTTATCATTTCGGAATATTCAAGTTTAGGTGTATTATGACATAAGCGATTTTTCATTTCGTTATGTAAGTCTATCATGTTGTTTTGTACTTTTGAGAAATTTAAAATGTTAATTGTTTTGTATGATACACTTAGACTAGTGTTAATGTACCAAAAACAGATCAAGCAAATAACTTACAAAAGAATTTTAAGAACTGGGGATGTACAAATTATCGATATGACATTCAGACAATCAATTTGAAAGCTTGTCAATTAAAACAGATTAAATAATTTATAGTGAAAATGATGTACAAAACCGATTGGAGTAAAGGAAATTTTAATGATGAATGCTTTTCAGAACACTTGATGAATCTCTTTTTATGTAATAATTTTTGTGTTGTGACTGGAACTGGATGAACTCAGTGATAATTAACAAAGTGATATTATGTTATAAAAGGAAGCAAGTAGAATTCAGTATGCGCTGATTATCTTCATGAGTGATTGTTCCAGACATGAGTCAAGATCTCTTCGCGTCACCGCCTTATGAATCCAGATGTTAAGTTGCGATATCTCCCTTCAACATTATAATTTGCTGACACCATTTTTCTTTATCTTATGCTAATTATTCAAAGCATAAAATTGACTATTAATTGTTAACTTATGGTATTATTGCTTCGATATCCTGACATTTTTAATTGTTAAATACCTGTCACCTTCTCAGTTCAGATTCAAAATTTACATGTTGAAATCTGTGGTCATCGGCAGTACAGATCCAAAACTATTTTCGTTTCAGATAAATCAAATGAATAGTCCTCAGAAGACCACAATGTGGTAAGATTGTTTTAAAGTGTCTACTGTTATCTGTCCTTTAATATAATTAAACAAATATTCAGGTATCTGTATGAGGTTGTAGAAATCTCTGTTTTTCATTAGGATCAATAACAGATTAATGTTAGACTACCGTTGAAACCCTGGAAGTACTAGACGGTCATTTCGTCTCATTATGAGGCTCCTCAGTAGTGCGCATCCGCGACCCCTCACCAAAGGAACTGGAAACCAGGACCTTCGGTTTCACGCGCTAACGCTTAACCTCTAGATCACTGGAAGATGATCACGCGATTTCGTGGATTTGTTACATTTAGACATTAACATCGTTGGATGCCGGCTCAGTGATCGAAGGGTTAAGTGTTTGCACGTGATACCGAAGGCCCTGGGTTCAAATTCCTTTGGTGAAGGATCGTGGACGCACACTACTGAGGGGTCTCATACCAGTACTTTCAGGTTTTCAATGGTGGTCTAACATTGGTCGATTCGTGATCTTAATCAAAGACGTTCAAGTAATCGGATATACTCTATCAGGAAAAGTAATAAACTTAAAACTGGAAAATAAGAATTGATTAATCTGTTTTGAAATTAACAGTGAATTTTTCCTGTGTTACACCAAACATATTTCATACATAGTATAGGGGTGAGTTTAGACTCGTATGTTTTAGGCTAGTGTATGATGTAAACAAATGTCTGAATTTCAATCAAACTGATCATTTCAACATGAAAATGAACTCAAGAAAATCATTAAACATGCACATGTTTACATCCTTACCAGAAAGCGGGTTAGCTAGAGGTTAAGTTAAATGGTTAGAAGCAATAAATATTTGCAGATACCCGTATACTGATGACCTTTATGAACTGTGCTCTGGAAAATGCAGATAAATTTTTTTCATAGTTATGTAAGAAATTTAATGTGTCATGTCTAGTTTCATTTTGAAGTTGATCGTTTAAAATACTAATTCGTTGGTGTAACGAGGGATTGTGCACTCATAACTGGAAAAAGTCAAAGTCAGAATGTTTTACAGACCAACAGATGCACGAGTTTAGTTCCAAATAGAGCTATAACACTGTGCAATCAATAGCTTCTAAGACAATAGATAATTATTTATTATTTTCTACCTTCTACAGGCCGTTGATTGTCATTAAAACTATTCCTCAAACTATTTTACAATATAAATTCAATTATTTGGAATCTAATCACTTTTTGAATGAATTCACTGACAACTCAACTGGTTTTCAGCTTACTGCATAGTTTCATACGAATATGGTAAGTACCAACATATCTATTATGTAAGAATCATATTCTTAATCCTTTTTGGTACGATGAATTCAAGAAATCTGAAAAAGTTACACTCGTAATCTAACCTATTGAAATTATTTTTCCTTGAATACTTTTTCGGAAACATATGTATCATAAAATATTTTGGTTGATCTATATCAGGCGTGAGACAGTTATTGCCGATGATAATGACTGATGGTCACACAACACTTCGTATTGACTGAAGTTTGAAATGTGACCAACGATATTCTACTCCAGTATTTGGAAGATAACTCGCTTACCACAAGAAATGAATTCTTTGCGTTTGACCCCCTACAAAGTCGGGGTTCAGGACTGTTATAGAGTGTAAAACTGGGACAATACGGCTGTCTATTGCTGCCTTATCTTCAATGGTAATTTGCTTAGTTAATTCATGATGGAAACTATTTCGATTCTAGAATTCCATATTAAATAATAAGAATCAGAGAAAATTGAACTAAAACCAACTACAATCCTACTTGCGATTACTTTTAAGCTTATTCTGTTCATTATTTTATGAGAAGTAAATAAAAATTTGGATTAATTTTTCTTCCACGAAGTTTAATAAGAATCCTTTGTTTCTTTATTTTAAGTCCAATGAGTGACATTCTAAATGATATCATTCATTGGGTTTAAACAGCTAGGAATTGTATTCCAATTTAGACAACTACTAAGAAAGCGTTTTATTTCAGGACCTGCTTTTAACGACTGTAAAAGAAGCATAGCCTTTGTTAATCGATGCGGAGTTGATGGTAAACAGTTCAATAGATTTTTAACAATAATGCTGAATGTGTTAATTTTAATGTATTCATTTAGTTGAAAGCATGCAGATAGGCATACCAGAGATTTACTTGACTATTTCTGTACTCGAACAACTATTTTATTCGTTCCCGACTAATATTATTTTTTCCTTTACCAACGATTCGACGATCGGATTTGCCAGGTAACTTCACCGTTGTTGACTTCAAATCCCATGATGAGCAAATAAAATTTTAGGAAATCCATCTGGTAAGTGACTGATGGTGACCAACTGATGTAGCTCCATTTGAGAAACCTCGAGTACCCATCCATATTGTTGTAGAGTCTCAGGGTGGGTTAAAATATTTTTCCACTGTCTCTGTATTTTCGATAGTTCTACAAGTACTTTCAGTTTTTAATGAAAATTATCTTTGAAACCAAATATTTTTCTCAAAACTAAAACTAGTAACACTGTTATAGGGCCCGTTTGTCATCATGATTTTTTTTATTACCCTTGTCACTAATTATCGTTCTTTTCTCGTTGTCTGATATGATTACTAGTAGTGATTGATTCTTTTTTTTAATGATCAACTTGTACAGTTGAAAACCTCTTAAATGGAGTTTTCATTTTGGCAAATATTATGAATAGAATATATTGGTGAATACCCTGTTTTTGGAAAACGAGTGATGTGATTAAAGGCTGTTTCTTTTTCATATCTGTGCAATACTTTAAATTTTTTTTAAATAACAAATTACAGTTAACTAAAAGCTAAGTATTTGGGTTTTTACGAGTTCAACACAATTTCTAATACTATTGAATGGACTGATTCCAACCAATAAAAAGATTACAGAAATTCTTTGAAGAGATTAGATGATTACATTCGTTTTTACATTTGTCTCAAATGGCTTATGTGATCAACTATATTAGATTTCTAATGGATGCTCGTTAAACGATGTGGTATGAAAAAAGTATGGATTTCGAGATTTTCCCTACCCATTATTCTGTAATTTTACACAATTAATCTCTATGGTCAAAGAGAATGTAAATTCGTAAATTTCTATTACAGTACATGATGTAATTACAATATTCAAACGAAAAAGTTGATTAACCAATCAAAAAATAATTTACTAGTCAACCACTAGAAAATTTCACTGAATCTACTATCATCATGATTGGTCAATTTCATTTGAGATTATGATTGGTCAATTGTAAGCTGAGTCTCGTGTTAGCTTAGTATATGATATTTGATTAACTATTGATACAAACATCTATTAGCTAGTCGCGTGACAAGCGGGTTAATATTCAACATCTGACACCACTAATCGTAAACACTAAATGTGTTGTTACAGTTAGTGGATTCATAAGAAAACTTTGAATTTGGATTTACAACTATTGGAATTATTAACTAATATATGAATTATCATTTTACAATGACCACCTATCTTGCATGTGACAATGATAACAAATACCCGAACTCAGATGATCATATTTTACAAGTAAGTCGAATCAATAAAAGTGAATTAAACATTTCATTAATATTTATGTAATATTTTATATGTAGAAACATTAAAGAAACCCGATAACCGGTAAAAAAAGTGGTTTTGATTATAGAGTCAGTAATTTAATACGTTTGAAGAGATGAGTGTTTAAAGGTCGTGTAAACTGTTAAGACAGATAAATATAATAGTTATGATGGTTAATCAACATTTGAATACTCCGTTTTTAGCAATAAAAGCATAGTGAAATATGAGACAAGATAATTGTCAACTTGAATGTATTAATGAAGCTAGTGGAGTAGACCCTCAATGGCTAAATTCCTTAGACTATTCAGATTCTAACCCTGTTCCACGTAACTTGGCTTGGGACACTGGATGATATCACCGGCCTTTGTGCTTACAATGTAAATCGTGGTCGAGTAAACGAATTTGTGCCCAATAAATGAGTCGAATTAGTAAAATCTTGAATCATGTTGAGGACGTATTTAACAATCATTATCATTAGTGACTGGGATAGATTTGGAATATGTATGGCTACTTTCCCTCATGACCTGGAACATATGAAATAAGGTTTGAAATCAGTTCAATAATTCTGATATATTATCGTTCTAAACTAAAACATATCCTAACAATTTTCACCTATATTTTATTCACATAAAATACATACAAGAAAAAATATCGTATTCATACTATGTATTTTATACTGGATAACTAAAGTTGTGTGACCTCGCGATTTCAATATCTAGGTCAAATAAGTAGCACAGCAACAAACGTGTAAATTGCTGTGTAGTCTAATCAAATGTAATTATGCGATGTAATATATAGTCGCTTAAAATGTCTCGAAATCAGTTGAATTGTTCGTCTAGTTACATATATGGGCTTGTTTGCATGTCGTTATTGTTGAACTGGTTATTGATAACTTCTAACCGGTTCAGATGTGCTTTCGAAATTTCTAGATTAATAGGCTAAATGCTGAAGCATTTATAAACTTAAAGAAAAATGAACTTACAAATAGCTCGACAACTATTAATTTATGCTTGTATTGTTACTATTCTGTGATAACATATTCATTTTAAATTGTCAGAAAGTCATCAGAATATGTTTCTGTTACTGAGTCTTCCCATTTTATCGTTCAGTCAATACATACCGTTACAACTAGTTGTTACAGTATTCGGTTTTTAATCATAAAACCAATATTTGTAACCCCTTTATTTCACTTGATATTCAGTTTCTGAGCATTAGGAGCGTGATTTAGGAGCCGGAGATTGTCAGACGTTTAGCTCGCAATCGAGTACATGAGTCCATTGTACAATTATTCTGGAACATAATCAAGAAAATGATGGTTAAGATTCATGCATACAACAGTTTTCTCTGTTGTATATATCTAGCAACGCCACATTTACCTAACTTGTAGTCACCAGCTATAACCCGAGACAATTCTCACTTAATCTTTTGCAAGCACTCTGTTAGTTATTTCACTAACCCTCCCCTAAATTTTCGTCTTTGATTTGTTTTATTACTATATGTATGGCGTCTGGATAATAAACATTTATTTCAACAAAACACTTGTTACTTAAAGATTTATTTGTCGGATAGTATCTTTTACGAGAAATCCTAATCAATATAGTGTGTCCAGAAAAATCTGAATGAAAATCAAAGACCATGCGTTCACTGAATACAGATGTTGTAAAATAAACTCATCTGATATGATCATGTGAAAATTTTGTTCCTTTCAATATCACTTAGGTCGGTTGAACTTGATATATATATATATATTTCTAAAGTACATTTATCATTTTAATAATGGAAAGGACTTACAACACATAAAAAATTTTCTAGCATGATACATACAAATTTGTAGTTGTATGTGTGTACACATTATAAAATAATCAACATTGAATTTCGATGCAGAAATAACAACGACTGAATAAACATTAAGGATAAAACTTAATTTATTGATATCTGATTATCAGATCATAGTACTTTATGATACATTTTCAATGATCGAATAACTTTATAAAATAAATTTTAATATAAATGAGAATTAATAAACCATTTTCAAGGAAAGAAACCATATCAAGATAATTGAATTTTTTTCATTATGATCTTCAATCTAAAAAACTGATTATGCGGTAATGAAACTTTTCCAGACATCGGTTTATATTTATATACACATATTGTGATTGAAGTAACCATCGTATGTGTACTGATTTACAAACTTAACATTCAGTCTTAGTTTGTGTAAAATAAGTTTTAAATAATAGTACCTAGTGATTTCAAGTATAAGAAAATGGAATGAGGTTGGAAAAATTAGGTTTTAACTAGTCAGTCACCGTTCAATTTGTCGATGTTTATGATATATTCTATGCCTCTCTTGAATATATTTGATCCATAAGTCATTTCAAAGTCTTATTAATTCGCATCTCTTCGATGAAGTTACCAATTGGTCTCTGTATGAACATTATAATACTAACTTGAAACAACTGATCATTCGATGCAATTGTAATTATCACGATATTTAGTTTATATACTCCGTACTGCTATAGTTCAGTATTTAACCAGTAATATATCAACAATGAAGTCATTATGCTTGATTGTTTGAGATACATATTGCATGTATTAAGATTATTGATTTTCCTAAATATTTTAGATTTATAATATTTCTCTATCGAACACTACGTATGATAGTCGCATATATTTATCAAACGTCCAGGTTTAATAAGTTACTCTCTCAAACTCAGTCAATTAACAGTCACTCTTATGCTTGTTATATACACCGAAATATGTGTACTTTCGCCTAACATTCGTATTACTTATCTTCCTTTGATAATATTTTAGGACAGTGATCGAACTAATCAGTATGAGAATATTAATTCAGATCACATATTTGTGGATTTAAATGGTAACAAACAAGGAATATCCTTAGAAAAATCGATTTTTAAAGAATCATGTAATACTATGGGAAAGTCATCAAATGGTAAGTCTTTACGATCAATAATAAATAATATGACCTTTAGTCGTGAGAAATATTTTTTCCTTGTCATGTTTAACTTGACAAAATGAATCATAAACATTTGTTATTCAATGATATTCTACCCGTAAACAATTGAATTGGTTACATCATCACTGGTCATGATCTTGAGATAAAATAAAAAAGAAATTTGAGTTGAACAACATATAAATAAAAAAATGATGTTTTGACTTAGAGCCGAAAAACATTTGATGTCATAAGAAGAAAGAAAACGTTGGTATGTATATTTACTGGTAAAACTAATGGGATAGTGACATTTTAATTTAGTGTAAACTGGTAATAACTATAATGTCATTATTATATCAGACACTAAAATCACTATTTAACAGACCAAATCTACTAATTTAAAGACAAAAATCTTAAATGTGATCGATTCTTGCTTGTTCATTAACTATATCTCATGTCTGCTTTCACATCTCTGTTTAGAGCGACACCATAAGAAGTCGTCTACCAAGTTTATCCACGATAAATTTCATGTAATACGCATAATTCACTATTACAATTTTAAGATTCTAGACTCGCCTCTTTTTTTCCTATGTATATATAATCTATATTTGAAATCAGTCACATAATTCAATGTCTGAATGCTAGTGTAACCTAGATATGATGATACTTTTTCGTTATATAAGACAAAAAACAATATTTTAAACATCCAAGTTCATATCCGTAATTGTTATTCTTTCTTTTCAATGTTTGTTTTCCATCAATGCTTGACATCAGTCGAGTGTTTTTCGTTTTTTAAAAAAAAAAAAACTTTAGGTCAAACTGTATGTTATTGCCTTCTCCTAAGAAAGAATGTTTTTTTTGAACACGTGGTTATCATTTCCGTTCGATCTCTTCTTAATAAACGTCACATCAGTTTTGTTCTCGAAATATTTTTTCGGGTATCTTTATCTGTAGAACACAGATTATCAACTATTTTACGGTTCTTTACATTAATCTATACAACTATATAATTTATTATAGGTTGTATACCAGAGCTTCAAAATTCTGTACAAAATTACAAACCATCTACAGAAATGCATCCATTTGATGAGTCTGATAATTATCTTCGTAATGATGTACAGTCATTATTTCAACGTCACTCTCAAATTGTTCAACGACTAGAACAACTTGATAAACAATTATTGACGCTGTTACATGAAGAATGGGTAAGTAATAAACAATTTATTCTTGACTATTCGTGAAAATGTAATGCTCGTCAACTGAAAAAAGAAAATCAAAGCCTTAGTTTATCTCTAAATGTCTCTAACTACCTGGGAAATGAATATCTTTGCAGCTTATCATTATTCGAAAGATTCAAAATCCAGTTGAAACAAAAGTCAGGAATAAGGGAGTTCGAGTTGAGAATTTATTTACCAGATCCTTGTCTAAATCGTAGTTAGAAATTAGCTAAACTTGACCTATTATTTCTCACTATTTAGCTTTATTGCACATGTCTATAAATATAAGTTCGTGATGTAGTTGTATCACAATTTAGAAAAATTATTACGTCAGATATTTGACAAATGTAGAATTCAGATACTATTCTATTCATATGTTGATTGAGGTTTGCTGTTTGTACATATAGCATGCTATCGAAATGGGGATTTGGGAAAATTGTTGTAATTTCAATAGTTAACTTCATGAGTCAATCTAAAGTAGACCACCGATGAAAACCTGTAGGCACTAGGCGGTTCTTTCGTCCTAGTATGGGACTATTCAACAGTGCGCCTTCACGATCCCTCACCAAAAAGACTGATCCAGGACTGGTCTCGCGCGAACGCGTTGTTCACACATGTATAATACACACAAAAAATTTAGTGGGCATAATGCATTGATACGTGAATTTCCTTTTGTGTTTTGTAACCGTACAATCATACAAAACATATTCTTACTAGGTCTTTCAAATGTTGTATTCTCTTGAATATTAGATTCGATTTCATAAGTAGATTTTTTTAAATGTAACTCTTTTTCTTCTTTTTGAATAGTCAATTACTGGAAATGTACCATCAGATTATGAATCTTTAAGCATGAAACTTGGTATATACAATAAACCTGTAAAGAATACATCATATCCTTTATCACATGTACTAGTTCATAAGGCAAGTACAGTTAGCATGAAACAAGAATATTATGAATATTTAAAGAAAAAGAAGAAATCATTAACTATTGTAAGTGTTCGATTAATGTACATTTTCAATATTTTACTTTTCATTATAATGTTTTGTTATATGATATATATGACCAGTTAGTTAAATTCGAATTCTCCGCTGTTTTCTTTCCTTGTAATGATTGTCTATCACACGTAATGAACATATATACGTCGTTGACTAACATATTTAAGCGAATCGGAAATGTCCATGAATGATTGTAATAAGTATTTAGTTTTCTGTATCTGTTATCCTTCTTAAAAGTTCAATGATAATGTTACTACGTTAAAATTACTTAACGATCAACCTTACAAGACTATTAAATACTTTATTACAGTTCATTTTGTCCATACAACTTCAGGATTGGAACGTTCTATTTACATTAGTTCTCTTCAGTTGTTCTGAAAGGGTGGATAGGTGGAATAATCATGCATTAGACTAGAACATGTTAACTGCCTTAAAAATTCACGTTTATTATCATTAAAAAGTAAACGGTATATTCCCTCCATAAATCAGAATCGAATTGAAGATGTTGTTGCTTCTTGGACACAATTTAAGATCTCACTTCAATATTCAGTTGATAGTGTTCTGTCTAGCTTTGATTTATGAAAATATTTCCTTTTGCGTTACAATTAATTGGTAAAATTTTTTTATCCCTCTTTTCACATTCTATATAGGCTACTAATAAACTAACAGAAAATGCTTCAGTAGAATTCGAATCAACTAAAATCAATTCGGAAATCGATGATTTTTCACTTCCAGATGACGAAATTATCAAACGTCATCAAAATACAACACAACGTTTAGTTGAGGTATTTGGTCGTAGTGTTAGTACTGAATTATTATTGCCAAACGAAAAATTATACAATGTTATTGATTTAACTGATAGATGCTCTAATTCAAATACTTCTTCTATTCATCATTATAATTCTGGAAATTCAACTTTTGATAAACATCAATATTACAAATTAAAAACGGATATTTATTTAACTCCATCAGAATATTATCGTTTAAATCATGTAACATCAATATCTGATTACAGCTCATTTCTATCAGCTGACTATTCACCAACAACTTCTCTTCGAAGTGATCACAGATCAATTAAAAATAATGTGAATAATAATAATGATAATCAAGATATAATATCCAATTTCCCTAGTAATTTATCATCAAATATTAATTGTCTTAATCATTCTGGCAAAAACATCGGAAATCTGCAAGATGAAAAATGTATTAGTGATTTAAGATTAAGAAACTCTGTAAATAAAGATTTAGTTGAAAATAATGAAGCTACACAAATGAAGGTTGAATCACAAATAAACGGTGATGTTTATAATGAGGAAGAGGAAGATATTGATCGTGTAGCTTATGAAATTGAATTACGACGACTTGAAGTTGATTTTGCAGTTATATCACAATTATATGCTGTGCATAAACAAAGGGCAAAAGAGACGAAATTTGAATCATACAAAATTGCATATAAATCTAATTCTAAAAAGGTAAATTTCAGATCAAAACTTACTTTAACTATTAATTACGTTACATAGATTTTGTAAATAATTAATCTTTTGCAACACTCAATTAATTTGTATGCTAAAAAGTGCTAATTGTTTGATTCTAGTTTAATATCCCTGTGATCATCATCATATAATGTTTTCTGCTATCATCTAGTTGTGTGATTTAGTAAATGTGTTTCTATACTTTATATCATTTGTTTATTTAAACAAACATTGGTAAAAGGGAGGTATCAAGTATATATGCGTCACACTTCGCTATTCGTTTTAGTGAGGGTCGAAATACTACCCGGGTGCTCAAATCAAAGCAGGTAGTTTTACTAGGTAACCATACCCGAGCCTTTGATTTACAGGTCTAATCCACAAGGTAGTGGAGCAATGTTAGGAGATGTAGTCACATGGTAACCAGTGACCAACAATGGGTCCATACACCATTTGTTCCCTTAGGATCCTGTAACTCATGTGCACCATTGGTTTGGGATCAGAGTTTTCCAACTCCCCTAACTGGATCCTTCATATCCAGCAACCGGGACAAAACACCAGACATTCGCTTTTCCTTCTCTCCTATTTCGTAAACAACAGTAATGCCACGAGAAGGCAGTGAGTAGGACTTCCCTGGCAGAGACTATATACGCGTGGCCATGTGAACACATCTTACTACTAATAATCGTTCGAATATAAATTTGTTCATTTCTATATTATTAAGTTAATGTTATCTTCTAAGCATTCTATAGACTTTGAAAACTCAATTTGCTTCAGACATTCTCACTTCTAAAAGTGATGTTTTAGCTACAGAAATTATTCATTAATTGAAACATCTTCATGTGGATGTTCAAATTTTATGGTTGTTTTTAAATTTATTGATTGATTTCAAAATAAAAATGAGTTTTGGTTTTATTATTTATAGTTAAAGGATATCACTCAACAAATGAATCGTATAAAAGATATATTGTTGTCAAATCAGCAACCGAATAAAAATCAACCTGTTATTTCAGTTGATAGAAAAATAATACAAAACCAACTTCTCAAGCGACGAAGAACATGGAATCCACTTAAACTTAGTTCTTCTAACTGGACTATAGGAAGTGGTACCTCACCTAGACGATCAAAGCTTAATGAAATAAAATTTCATGGTTTCTCCACACCGGTTACACCTAATACCACTACAAAAATCCCAGATAATTGTCTTGAACGAAAGAACGACATTTTCATAGAAGTCCCTGAGTCAACAATTATAGGAAGACGGATGCAACATACTCTCCCACGTCATAGTAAACTCTGCTATGAAGAATCTTTCAAGTGTGAGAAATTGATTGCAGAATGTCCAGTAAAACAAGTTATTGACGAATACTTACATCCAGATCCTCTCACAACAATGAGTGTAACACCAATTAAGCAAGATATAACAACTGAACCTAAACCCACCTTATCTAATTCAGTTCTATATCCTGTGGTGACTAGTTATGTTACTGCTCTGAACAAAAGTTTCCATCATTCGTCCGATTCCAATACTATCAATCCTCCGGTGAGTTAGAATTGAATGGTGACAGTTAATTTGCATGCCACTTTGTTATTCCATGATCTATGACAAAAAATTTCAAACCTAGTGGGTCATTTTGAATGTCGTCAAAAAAAACTTACTACTTGACAAACCTCCACGAAACCCATTAACTCGATATCTACTTTATATTCGTTCAAAGTTATATCTTGTAAAGCGTACTGTTGATGTAGTTTATCAGTTTGTAAAGTTACTGATCTCTTTTTCCAAATGAGCATTAACATCTCATCCAATTTAAATTTTAATCACAGACCAGTAACTGGGAACAAAGTTGAGCAGAGGTGCTATGCAAATAAATGTATATGTACATCAAAAATAACACAGATCTGGTGAATAAATCAGGTATTTTCACAGTCAAATTCACGAGTCGATCCAAGCTAGACCACAAATGAAAACCTTGAAGCACTGGGTGGCCGTCTCGTCATAGTATGGGACTTCTCAGTAGTTTTCAATGGTGGTCTATCTCTGATCGATTCGTGAATTCGACTGAAAATACCACAACTCCCGGTACTGATAATAATCATGTTCTCACTAGTGACTACCTCCAAGATGGATTTCTTGAAGTTCTAGGGAGAAGCTGTAACCAGTGGACTGCAATCCGTGCCTGGTAGTCACAGTTATCCACCTTAAAAAGTGGATGAAGGGTTGCGCGAGATCATGAATCAATTCAAGTTAGACATTTACACCGTTGGATATCAACTTAGTGGCCTGGAGGTTTAAATGTTCCAACTCAAGAACGAAGATCCTGAATTCGGGTACATTCGGTGAGGGATCGTAGATATGCACTTCTGAGTAGCCCCGTACTAAGACGAGGAGGCCGTCCAGTGCTTCCAGGTTTTCAATGGTGGTCTAGCTTGGATCGATTCTGTGACTGAAAATAAATATTAATCTGTTTCCAGTAATTCTTAATGAGATATGACATTCTACTTATGAATTATTTGTTCTTCTTTATAAGCAGACATTAATCAGCGCTGCCGTTCAAGATAAATTAACATCTCCAGATCATACTGTACATAAAACAGTTGTTCACGATCGACGCCGAAAATATGTTAAAACTTCCAAACGTTCACATTCATTATCGTCAGAACTCTTCATTGTTTCTGTTGATGATACATACAATCTTCCACATAGTCTACTGAACAAAATTGCTCGAGTTCGTTCTCTACCACAATTCAACAATAATCAAAATTGTTCCAGTGAATATATAGACAACATCAAAAAGAAAATAGCACATGAAAGGTAATAATAACTGTTAATACTAATACTACTGCTTTGAAATACAGAATATAGTAATATAATATAATAGTATAATAAATTAATTCTCAACCTTTATGTATAATAAATTAATTCTCAACCTTTATGTATAATAAATTTATTTCGTTTCTTTGATTTTCAGTTATTCAATTGATGGGAAACTTAAAAATCTTAAACGTCAACCACTGAGCGTAACTACACAGTCATCAGGTATTGGTTTCAATAATTCATTTGCTTCTGTTGAATACACTGACACACTTCGATCGTCCAACTTGAATTGTGTTAAGAACATGCCTAAAAACACTACCTCATCAAATACATCCTCGTCCAACTGGTCGACTTCAGGTTGCTCATGCTTATCTTCTCAGACAAACAATTCGTCTCCATATGAAGAAAGAGCTTTAAAAATAAATGAGGACTTATGTAATGAGAACAAAGAAAAACCGAAACCCAAAACAACCGGCTCAGATGACTATTCCAATACACCAGCAAAAAATTGTTCGGAGGAAACAACTGAAAACAAGGTTATACTAAGACATATTGACAAAAGAGGAAGAAGAGTACCTACTACTCTTATGGAAAATATCAATGCATTACCTTTTGGAATAGCAGTTTCTGCCAGGTGTATTTGCAGCTGCTTCTCAGAACATAGTCATCCTATAGCTACTGCTGAATCGCATGTTTGTCAATGTTGTCATACAGATAACCCTATCAACACAAATACATCAATACCACTCAATAAATCTGACTTTAGGACCGTCAACGATTTCTCTACAGCACATGATGAAGGTAACTTAGCGTCTATGCCATCTTCTATATGCTATAGTGAAGAAACACAATCAGTCAATACATCTAGTGATGATCGACTTCTTTCAAAGATTCATTTAAACTGTTATTCTTTACAAACTCCAAAAAGTTATGATAAAAGCCAAGAGAACGAAGAACGTCTTATTTCGCAAACTTCTAATAATAAATCGACTATACTTGTGAATTCCAAAAGTGCTCTCAAAGGTCGATTAAGTTTAAAACCCTTTTCTTTATTAAGACGTGCTGTTTCAAAAGTTACAACAAGTTCGGGACGTCGTTCACTCAATGCAAACACGCCTTTCACAATAAACAAAAAGAAGTGTATCACTAGCCCAGCAATATTACCATCTCTTACCACAGAAAGACTAAAAGAGATAAACACTAGTAGTTTCACAAATAACAACATTGATCCTTGTAGAAGATCTAAATGCTCATTTAATGAGATTCACGGTTCCTCGGGATATCAATCAAATTCTAGTATTTATACTACAACAAATAATAGCCATAATAATAGTAATGTTCGTCAATTTACATGGGCCAAAAAACTTCGACATTCAATACGTCCATCACATGCACTATCAAATAAATGTGTAAACTAATCTCTAGAATACTTATTATTTTACACCAAGTGTGTACATACTACTCCGTCTTACCTGTGATCTGATGTTTAGATTAACTATTACTATATAATTATGACAGTAGCTGAAACGTGATCATTTAGATTGTTAGCAGATTTACTTTATCATATGCAGTATTTACATGTAATTGTATTTTTTTTTGTAAATTGATTACTTATTAATCTGCATATAATGTCCAAAGTGTACATAAAAGAAATATGGACAAAATGAACTAGACCACCCTTTTGAAAATAGTTTATCGATGTTTGTAGAATTATGATGTAACCAAAAAATTGATATTAATAGGTTGTATACTACTTTTTAAGAAAAACCAAATAGAGAATTGATTTAATTTGTAGTTAATCATCCCGACAATTTTTTTTATATTTTGATTTCTTTTCTATTTCTTTATTGAATAAATAAACAAAAGTTGTTCATGATTCAAATGATGAGTTCTTTTCCTTTGTTTTGTATTGTCCCATTGAAACAGATTGATCGTACATAATCGATCAAGTATAAATATTTAGATAACAAGCTGTCAGTATTTCGATGTTTGTTTTCTAAATGGTATATCTTTGGTATGCGCTAGATGAAAAATCCAAAATACTTGATTCGTTTTGTTTAAAACACAGTCAGATATATGTGGAGTTCAGTGTTGATGTATGTATATGACAATGAATTCCTAATATCGAGTACATTAAAATATAAGATAACAGCTCCTCTCTAGTAAATTTATCTGGATTCCCCAGCTAAGCACAAGTTATTGGCATCAATTTCCCGTGTCCCATATGATGTTATGTAATGATCAGAGTTCAATTCAAATGCAATTATTAATCGTTCATCGAAGTTTATATGCAATTGAAACAAGGTATTGATCAATATTTACAAGACTAGCTCAAGAAATGTGTTATCATCAGTGACTAGAGTTCAGAACAAGAGATCGAAATGATTTACAGTGAAATCAAGCATAGACTTGAATGAAAAATTCTTAAGTATCTGCGCCTAGTTATGTCTTGTTTTTGTACATTAATTCAAAATAGCAGTGTATTAAAATAGGAACAAAGTTGTTTGTACCTTTTGAAAACATAATATTTTGATTCATTTAGTTACTAAGGTCTAAACTAACATCAGTTTTGGTTGTATGCTCCCAATTCATATCATATTTATTATATGATACCGCGATTATTTGTGATGATTATTCAAAGTACTCATGACCTACACAAGTTATATAATATTACTACTTCAATAAATCAATAAGATTGTATGTATAGTGATGTATCAAACTAATTACGTAATTGCTAGTACCAGATATTAACCTTTTACAAACGGAGACGACCATTTTCATTGTTTACAGCAAAATGCCAGACATGCATGATGTAATATCACGTTGAAGCCAGTCAGTTACGAAAAAATGCATGAACTAAAGTTAACCCGTAATGCTTATTACTAACTCTGAGCTAAATCTATTAATCGGGCTCATTAATTGTCCAACTACATATCGATTATTTCGTATTAGTGATGAAGTTAACTATAATATCCCAAGGAATAGGTTTAATTCATACACTTCAATAGGTGATGAGTGATAATTTCAGGAAAATAGTTAACTCAAAGTCAGAATTAGGGCATTTATCCGTCACGCTCATATCGTACAAATTACTGTTCTCTGTATTCGATAATCCATTGTTTTGAAAAAAGCAGTCTAGTTATTAAAACATTTGGACGAGAATTTCTCTGTAGCTTTGAATTGATGATGATAAGTTTATATTTTAAGGATTTCATGTTTCTACAGAATACTTCGAAGTTATCCTTTATTTTGTATCATCAAAATAAATAAATACTAAAAATTCAATTAATTTAGATGAAGGAGTTCTTTGTGAAGATTTTTAGTAATATTTTATATATAGTTGAAATCATGAGTCAATTGAAGCTAGACCACCGTGAAACCTGGACGGCCATTTCGTCTTATTGTGGGTCTCCTCAAAATAATCAACATGCGTGTATGTATATGATCACTGTACTAGCATATAACTAATCACGTAAGTTTGAGATATTGTTCACCTTCAGACTTATGGCGATGGATAATACTAACTCTATTGGCTTAAAGTAGTACAGTCTTCATTTTTAATTGTATTTTGAATTGACTGATTTGTTCTGATGCATTGCTGATTAAGTTTAAATCCATACAATTTGAATAATTATTAGTTGTTTCTTTTATTTAGTATGTGTGTACCTTACAGATTAGTAATATAAATGATTCACATTTGGATATTCCTTTAAACTGTGACATATCATATCGATGTGATCTTGTTTTGATAGTTCATCAAATGATAACACTGTTCATTATTTAAAGTGTTCAACATAGTCTGTTGACACTACTTATTTAACAGGTTTAATTTTCTATTGGAAACTTACATAGAATTATACATTTTTATTAATATTTGAGGGCAGTACACATAAATTAATGATTATCATCATTCACTTATTCATATCCGATCCATGCTTTTAAGCGAACAGTTAATTGAACCATTTTTATCTTAAATAATATGTATATTTACAAGTATAAATAAATAGTAGTAGAAACATTTCTTTGTAAATGATAGATTTACTAAACATTTATCAATCACTATCATGAATTTAATTATTTTAGTAATGAATAAATTATTTTAATGAATATATATATCTGAAGGGGTTTTGTGGGGATTTTTAGTAATTTAATAGTTGAATTTATGAGTCAATTAAAGCTAGACCACCATGGGAAATTTGGATGCATCTGATGGCCGTCTCGTCCTAGTATGGGACTTCTCATAGTTACGCATCCACAACCCCGCCCACAGGATTCGAACCCAGCACCTGTCGGTCTTGCGTGCAAACGCCTGACCTCTAGACCACTGAGCCGGCATCCAACAGTGTAGATATCTAACTTCAACCAATCCATGGAATTGCACCAACGTCCAGCATTGTCTTCAGTGAATTACTATCTGACAACAGACCTAGTTGGACTCCACTGGTCACCGCTTCTCACTAGAACTCCAAGAAATACCTCTTGAAGCCAGTCACTAGTCAGCATATGTTGATGGTTATTATCAGAAGGGGGTTTCGTGGAGATTTTTAGTAATTTGGTAGTTGAATTCATGAACCAATAAGAGCTAAATCACCATGGAATACTTGGAGGCACTGGACGGCGTTCGCGCGCGAGACCGACAGGTGCTGGGTTCGAATCCTGTGGGCGGGGTGTTGGATGCGTAATACTGAGGTGTCCCATAATATGACAAAACGGCCGTCCAATAACTCCAGATTTTCTATGGTGGTCTAGCTTTAATTGACTCATGAATTCAACTATAGAATATATATCTGTTTGTTTTTCTTCCGTATGTGTGTAAATGTCTGCAATGTATTCAAATATCTGTAATCATGTATATATGATTCTAAAAGTTGATAATAAGTTATGATATTAACTGAATATGTGTTACGATTATCAAATTAATAGAAGCATTTAAATGTATGTTGTTTGATATACTATTGAGCTTTGGTTATGTATATACCGTGAATGGTAACAATGTAAATCAATTATTACCATTTAAGTAATTACTAATAATGATCTGAGATTAAAATGAAATGATATGGTTAGATATCTGCTTCATCCCAGTGATAAAAATTAGCCAATGTAAACAATTACGTTGATATTCAATTCAGCTGTTGTAACTGGATTAATTGTTTAATATGTTGGTACGTTCATTCTTAGTTCCTTTTGTTAATGAGTAAAACCTTATTCTGACTACCTCAGTAGTCTTAGATACTGTATGTAAAAATCATTCATTAGTATAAGTACTATGCAAGTACAAATTGCTCAAACATTAATAATAAAGTAATCTCTTTTAATAATTAAACTCAAGTTATTAACTAACATGGCAACATTATATCATTACAATTCTACAACTCATTCATTATCACTTACATAAATAACCCAATAAATATTCAGTATATTGTATTTATTTACCTAAATCTTACTAATAATAAGAGAACTATTTCTACCCATCTCATCAGCAAATAAAAAAGGTGCTAATATGTAGTTTGTTATCAAATGAATCGATTCATTTCAAATAGATCTCAAATAATTATTCATACTTGTATACAATGAGTCATTTCAATCGTTTCCTTCTTACAATTCGGAAAGTAGGTGTCACTCACCTTTTGAAAATGTCATACTCAAAATTAAAATGTTTTTCATTTTTTATTTTGTCATTTTAATTCAATTAGCTATGAGATTCCCTCTGTCTCTCTTTCCCTCACTCACACACACACACAGAGTACATATTTGTGTATGTATGCTATCCTTGTGTTGATCATATATGTGTCCCATTGCTCAAATGAGAATTCAAACGATGACCTTTTCAATTATATTTCAATTTTGAGGACAACAAATTAATTCTCCCATAGGTTCAATGAATGTATATTAAAATGAAGATATCAATATTAATTACATAAAAAGGTATAAGACGATATAAAATATAAGAAAATAGTTCAACTTAAGAACATAGTGAATTATTAACTAGTTAGAATTAGAAAAGTACTTTTTATTCATTACTGACCTTAATTTAATTGATTTGAGTATAACTTCTTACAATCAATGACCTTTACATAAGAAAAATCAAATTCTTTTTTATCGAATCAAGAAACTTTCACTATGGCACAAACACTTAAACTTGCTGGAATTTTACTATGATAAGCTTACTAATTCGTAACAATATTAATAATCATATGATTAATTCAAGAAGAATTTGTATCTGTTTGTGGAATTCAACATTGAAATTTTATGTAGTTGAAATCATGAGTCAATTGAAGCTAAACGACCATGGAAAACCTGAAGGTACTGAACAGCAGTTTCGTCGTATTGTAGGAATCCTCAGCATTGTGTGTCCACGATCCCGCCTCTCGAGATTTGAACCTAGAACCTATCAGTTTCGCGCGCGAGCGCTTAACCAATAAGCCACTGAGCCGGCATCCAAGGATGTTAATGTCAATCGATTATTACTTATTCC